CACCTATGCCAAGTGTGAACATTCTAACTGAATTAGATTGATAGTTATTGTGTTCCAAGGTCTCGACCAATTAAATTGCTTATCACTCTGCTTACCCTGAGCAGAAAATGCTCATTATCGAACTTGGTCAAGGTATTTATGTAATGAAACTATACACCAAGTTTCATCACTCGCACTTAATTAGAACTAAAGTTATCATGTCCCAAAGCATCAACCAATAAAATTGCTTATCTCTGCTTACCCTATGCAGAAAATGGTCAAATTGCTTATCACTCTGCTTACACTGAGCAGAAAATGCTCATTATCAAACTTAGTCAAGGTATTGATGTAATGAAACTATACACCAAGTTTCATCACTCGCACTTAATTAGAACTAAAGTTATCGTGTCCCAAAGCATCAACCAATCAAATTGCTTATCCCTGCTTACCGTAAGCAGAAAATGCTCTTCTTCGAACTCCATCAAGGCATTGACCTAATAAACACCTACATTAAGTTTTAACATTCTAGTTTAATTAATAAGAGGGTTATTGCGTCCCAAAAAGTGTGACGAACTGACAGACAGACAGACGGACAAACCCATTTTAATAGTCCCCTGCTTTCTTCGAAAGGCGGTGGACAATTAATGTGTCTGTTAATAATTCTTAAATAACAGATTACCGTAACCTAAATAGTGTATTTCTTATTGTTAGAAATGTGGAGGACACTACAAAGATAGTAAATCAGATAGTTAAATATTGGGTTAAATTACATTTACAGCAAACTTAACACTCTACAAGACAATTCTAAACCATTCAAGAACACAACATACGACATATGTGCAACTACACATACTTACCCTGGATGTATTATACAATGTATTCTTTCCGTTCGATGAAATTTCTGTTATATTATGAAGTAAAATCTATGAGAGATAGAAGAGAGAGAAAGGAACAAGTACCCATGAAAAATTGCTTAAAAGATAACTTTTCATTTTCAGTTTTCCCCTCAAAATATGATTTATTTAAAGACAATGTATAGTAAACACATAAAAATGGTACATGCTTGCAGGTCCTGTGTTTTAATACAACTAAAACAAATCCATTCATAATAATAAGGTCATATACCTTGTAAGTCTGACAAACAAAAAAGCATGGATTTTAAATTTTAAACTATCTTTCACTGATAAACGTGTTTATTGAAGTTTTCAAGTGTTATTTTGTTTTAGAAGATATTACATAATTTTAGATGATGAGAACGCTCCCGGCACTTATTTTTTTTAAGTGATCCAGCTTAAAATTCATTAAAACTAATTAAAACAATGTAGATCAAAAGGGAATGAAAAAAGATTTCACAGACAGGATAAGGGTTTCTAAAATTGATGGTGGCAAATGGCATGAAACTAATGAATTGGGCTTGGAAGGCAAAGAAAAATACAGTTTCCATCGCTCAAAATCAACCACATCAATCCCATGGTATAAGGGAAGGAATTATATTGGTTGCAACTGTAAAATTATATTTTATTTGCAGTACATATATCACATAGATGTACCCAGTGCTCATGTAATACAATGCTATATCAAAATATTATCGGTAAAATTTATTCAGCAAATTAAAACTTCATGTTAACATCTGAACTTAGAGAATTTCTGAATCTCTCGGCCTTCAACACCATGAACCCCAGTGAATACACAAAAAATAACTGTTATTAGTTAAATGTAATTCAAAATTACCAAAGTGTGTTCTGTAATCTCTGCCACGCAAATAAATTAAAATAAGATTTATCGGACTGATTATCAGACCGACTAACTTATCAAAAAGAACAGTCTTGGAAAATAATTTGACGCAACACAACTCTCTCCATTACTGTAATGGAGAAATTGAAATGTGTTTTGGAGCAGTCACATATTGTATAATTTCAGATGTGTGGATTTGGGGTATCGTGTATTTTATCACATTCGCTTCAATCACTCATCACTGTCATGTGTTCGTTTATGTGCTCTTTTAATGCTAGACGTAAATCCACTGCCTGTGCTAGACCTTTTTTTGAGGAAAAAAGGGGGTTTGGAACTGAATGCCAAACAGTACTTATGGATTGAAGCTTTTATGAAAAATCTTTTGGGATGGGCATGAGGTTGGGCTAAGAGGAAAAAATAGAATTTTGGAAATTTGCATAATAATGTAGTCATGTGACGTCATGGTGGCCATTTTGGATTTCTCATTTCTCACTAAAGCTAACACGAAAACTAATTTTTCTCCATGAAATACTTATGAGATATTGTTTTTTTCACTGGATTTTGATAAAGATATATAAAATGAACAAAAATATCAATAGCAGCCATGAGCAATGCCACCACGAACGCACTATGTGCGGAGTGCAATACCTTGTTTTCACTTTCACTTTCATCCCCTAGTCCCATATCATTATCAATATAGTCAGTTAATAGATCTACACGTTTGGGACTCAGGAATTGCCTACGTCTTTTATGATCCTGCAGGCCAGCATTATTATCAACATAAGAATTATTGTCAGAATCTACTGCAGACACAGGGCTATCGTGTTCACATTGGGCTTGTTAATCATGCACGGGAGACATAGCCATAGGCGGAACGTCGCGCAACAAATCACACACTTCATAATACTAATCACTGTCCTGACTACTATCTTTATCAAGTAAATGGAAACAAATTATGTGTATCACCCTCCTCGAAATTGTCCACGTGTTGGTCAGCAAGACGTCATTCACTATGCACTCCGCCATTTTACAGTTTGCCGCTTTGAAACACGTGGAAATATGTTCTAGTGTATAGAAAATACAATAGATGGCACTTGCAGTTACGGTACTAATTTTAGCGAGGGTTTTACTGAGTACACGGTAATACCGGATACGCGCATTTTAATGACATTTTATAATACCCGGTACTACCGGGTAGACGCAATGAAAGGGTTAATAATTACATATGAAAATTAGTAGTTGGACAGGAAACAAATGTCAATATATTGGGATCAAATTTTATTTGATAATAGACATTAAAATCACACACATGCATCCAACATTCCAAAATACTCAGGCCAAAATGTTTATTCAATCATATTCACATTTGAGTGAAGTAAAAACTATTCTGTACCATTTATTTAACACAAAAAATAACTTTCACCAATATATACATACTTTCAAATTTAAATACCCCAAGTATTATTCATACATATTAGATAAAAAAGAAATCCATTGAAGTCACCTACGAATATTAATACACAATATCATGGTGTCTGTTAGCGGCCATTCTACATTCTCGACTTGTCAGGTTGTGAAGGCGACAAGTTGCGGCACAACAAGTCGAAATAATTGTATTTGGTCGTCTGGTAGACTTGTCTGGTTATGAAGGCTACAATTTGACAAAATCAACCTGACAACACAACAAACTAAACCGACAATTATCAACTTTATTTTGTCGATTTGTCAGGACAATTCTGTCGACTTGTTGTGTCATTCTGTTGACTTGTAAGGTCAATTCTCAGGCGCGGATCCAGAGGGGGGGGCCGGGGGTCCAGACCCCCACCCCCACCCCCCGCTCAGGCTTGAAAATTTGAAGGGTCCGAGAAACTTAAATCTAAAAGCCTGAATCTGACCCAAAAATTGCAAGTTTGTATACATTGAGGGCCCCGAGACCCCCCCCTTTACAACGTTTAGCGCCCTCGGCGCTCGCAGCAGTGGGCTACACCCACCGAAATTAGTTAAGCAATTATCCAACCTAGAACAATTAAGGGCAATAATTCAAAACATTACGATCCGATATGCATGAATATCGAAAGGATCCAAGATTTTTGGGTTATAAACATGCATTTCTAGTTTCATCAAAATTGGATCAAAATTGTGACCTCTAGAGGGTCCACAACATTGATATACCATATATTGACACTATTTGCGTAAGAGGGGCGGCCATTTTGTCCAGCAGTTTTGGTTCGATTTTGACTAAATTCAATCTCAACCATCATTAGGGTGTAACGGTGATATGTTCAAAAGTTGGAGAAAAATTGTGACCTCTAGAAGAACCACAAGCTAAAAACCTGATTTTTCGTACAATATGCGCGATTATCGACAGGAACCAAGATCCTTGGGTTATAACATGAATTGCAAGTTTCATCAAAATCATATGAAAATTGTGACCTCTAGAGTGTCGACAACCTTGATATATCATATATTGAGACTATTTATACGCACAAGGGGCGGCCATTTTTTTCGGCAGTTTTGGTCCGATTTTGACGAAATTCAGGAAGTTACTATCCGATATGCACGAATATCGAAAGGAACCAAGATCTTTGGGTTATAAACATATCTTTCAAGTTTCATCAAAATCAGATGAAAATTGTGACCTCTAGAGTGTCCACAAGCTAAAAACGTGATTTTTCGTACAGTCAGGGGCCATAATCCATGAAGCTATGGGCCGATATATGCCAATATCAACAGTAACCAAGATCTTTATAGACCTATATTTCAAGTTTCATCAAAATTGACTAAAAATTGTGACCTGTAGACGGGGCGACGACAATATATATCCACATGAAAATGTGGGCGTATAAAAATGAAAACATCAAAATCTATTTTACATCTTATTTCTGTATTTTATTCATTAACAGTAACACACATAGGTGGATTTTCTTTTGGATAGTCTTGAAATGTATTGTTTGTTCTATTATTTATGTCAAATCTAAATAAATACAATTAAATATTCATCTGATTTTAAACTTAAAAAAAAATAAAATAAACAGGTACAATGCTTTGCATTGAATTCTATCATAAATATCAAAAGCATGTCTTTTTTAGATCTTTTGGACACAGTATCAGGGATGGAAAATGAAATGATGCAACCTGGTTCCAAGGCAATTCCAGAGACTGAAACTGCTTCGATAATTAAATATTCTCTACCTTTTCCACACAAAAGAAATAAAATAAAAACCATGCTTTTCAAATAAATATAACAATGATAATATAAGAAAACCTTTATTTTAATTTTTACTTACATGATGAGGAAAGAGTTCCACAACACCTAATCCTATTAATCTACCCCATGCTGCACCTATTGCTAATGATGGAATAAAAACGCCACTTGAAACACTTAATCCGTATGTCCATACACCCAACAAAAAAAACACAACAATAAAAACTGTTAACGGTATCACTCCATATGCATCTGAAAATATCATTTTAACCAGATTGTATAATGAAGAAGTAAACAATTTTTGAGAATTAAATTTAATGTAATGAACTAAATGTTCCATTATAATTTTATAGAAATAACCATCAGCTCTAAAACTGATAAAATACCATAAAATAACTTGGGATTTTTCAAGCCTTGTTTCCTCTTGGCTCTTGACCAGTGCGGAAAGTTTGTCCATTGAGGTGCAATGAAAAAGATCCTTTGGTAGTTGGAATTAAAGAAAAATTGGTTGAACATTCCAGACACATCTTCCCTCAGACACAGACATTGCATACATACATGTAACAATAGTAAATAAAAATAACCAAATCAGTCTCAAAATAATCAATTGTGTTTGTTTTCCAACATAATTCATACATCTGTAAGAATATTATACGCAATTCTACTCACCATGAGGATCATGTAATAAAGCTTTAAGGCAACCTTCCGGGGTTGTTAAAAATAAAGATGACATTGAATTGTGGCTTTTATCTTTACAAAACATCTGTCAAGAAAGAAAGTCAGTCTATTAGAAACTGAAGAGTTATTCATTTTAAAGTTCACTACAGCTAATGATTTTTAATTTTACTGTTGTAATTCGGAAAATAAATAAGAAGTAGATATTAATGGTTATCTTTGAGTTTAAAGATAAATCCCTGAAATCCAATCAAATCTCAGACATAAAACCAGTATTCGAGTCTCTGTTACAAATTCCAAATATGAGTTGTTACTAACAAACTTTAGCTTATGTTACCCATTTTACTAGTATAACCATCTAACCCCCGTATATTAAAACCATCTATTTCTGTATTTCAATAAATTAGATATCAAACTTAGTACTTGAAAGAATCAACTATTATTTGATTTTTATAATATTCTCCTGTGATAATATAAAACCAATTTAACATTGTCACTGTCACCAGAAGGGATGACATTTTGGAGAAACAATATCAGTGAAATGTAGTAAAAAGTCAAGTACACCTTAATGGTCTTATGTCCTATGTAGTAGGGAAAACATTACAAGCGTACAAAAGAATTCAGGTGTATTAATTACAAAGTTCTTTATTCTATAAAACAGAGAAAAACAGTACTGAATACAAGGTAGTAATCAAAAATGTGCAACTAGCCTTGATGGCAGTCGTCTGCTGAATGATGTTACGTAAAAGGCGGTAGTGTGCCAAATAACGTCATAATAAGTTAAAATGTAATAACAACAATAATAAAAAGGGTGATAATCCAGATAAAACAACGCCAAAAGGATAAAAAAAAAAACCCTATTAATTTAGGAAATTTCAGCACTATAATTATAAATCTATAAATTTCACTGATATTTATGGATTTCTTTTGACAAGTTTCATTGGTAACAGCAGTCACATCGTTTAGATATAAAAAAGAGGATGTTTCAGCCAGTGGACATTTTGACATTCAGCCAACGGATGTTTTGGCCAATTTTACAAAAAAAAATTATTATTTTTATGAAAAAATGTTTTTAAAGTAATTCTTTAACGCATTTAAAGGGAACACCACGTCCATAAACTTTCAGATTCCGATGTTTGGTGCATGGACGATAACTACGCAATGACACTCAGTAGTTTTATGCAGTTGCATGTCATCCAGGGTCGTGTATCAGAATTTTTTGTTCCATTTGTGTATATACTTTTACAAAGAAAGACTCACACAACTTATAAATTAATGTTTCGTTTGTTAAAGGATAATGGTTGTGACCTAATGTTTTGTTTGTTAGTGGAGAATGGTTGTGACCCATCAAATGTTATAATAGACTTTGAATTGAATGCTCTGTAGATCTTATTTTCATGCAGTGTATGGACCACAAGTACAGATTCAATACTGCTTTTATCACCTTACTAAATCAACTTGGAAACACATCCAGTCACTAGGACTTGCAAACATGTACAAAGATGACGAGTTTAGACTTATTTAAATAAAACATTATCGTCCAGTTTCGAACTGCTCTTTTGGTGGCAAACTCATTGAAAAATGTGTAGCTAGTGATCTTGATAACCATCTCAGTTAGTTTTCTTTATATTCAAAATTCCAATCCTCATATAGAAAGTACTACAGCACCGAGTCTGCTTTACACAGAGTACATAATGATTAGACCGGAGGCTCAGTGCGTGAGGGTGTCCATCAAATGGGCACAAAACAAGCCCCAACTTTTCTTTAGTAAAATTTTGCGTAGAATACGATGCCGTTAGGGCGTTTTTGAGATATTTAGGGTCAAAGGTTAAACGAGGTCATTTGCACTGAAAGTGAATGCGCAGTGGAAATATGCTGAAAATGATCGAAAGTAATCACTCTTTCAATAAAAATGTAAACTTGCTGAATTCACCTTTAGTCTTAGTGACCCCGGAGGTCAAAAGGTGAAATTTTCAGTTTTTGCACTAGGAAGATTTAAAGCAATAAAATGTCAGCGTAAAATATAAAAATAAAAGGCCACGTCTTTGATACCAAACCGTTTCTGAAGTCTCTCCAATAGAATGCAATGATCAATCGTATCAAAAGCAACTGACAAATCTGGATGGAATCTTACTGCGTGATAAAAATCAGAGTATTGTCATAAATGGTCACAAATCAGTATCCGCTCCCCTTGAATTCGGTGTACCACAGGGTAGTGTCTTAGGTCCGCTATTGTTCACACTTTACTGTACTCCTTTAGAGGATATTATACTTAGTCATGGTTTGGATTTTATGTTGTACGCTGATGATACTCAGTTGTATTTTACATGTAATAATGCTGAAGTTTCAAAGGTTGCAATTGACAAATGAGTGAATGATATTAATGTGTGGATGTACTGGGGTACTTCTTATTGAGCCAGCACGACCATTCCTCCAGGTGATGTACGGCAAGCGTGCCTTCGCTAATGCTGCCCCATAACTATGGAACTCTCTCCCTCTTTCTATTCACAATGCCTCCTCCCTGGACTCCTTCAAAAAACACCTCAAAACACATCTTTTCCAAAAGCACTACACTGAATGACTCACTTACACTACTATTGTTTTTATTTTTTACTTTGTTCTTATGTCGTATTATATGTTTTTATGTCATATTATATGTTTTTTATGCCATATTTTATGTGTTTATGTCATATTATATGTTTTTAAATGTTTTTATGTCATTATGTTTTAATCTCTTATTATATGTTTTCATGTTATATATGTTTTTGTACTACGTATTGAGATTGTTTTTACGATGTAATGCGTATAATAAGAAATAATTATTATTATTACATGTCCAATTACTATTAATTCCTTACATCTCTGCTTCCCCTTAAATTTAAGATTTACCTGGGCAGTTATGGCATGATCACTATAATGTTTAACTTCTGTACATTCATCAACAGAATACATGAGTAGAAAGGCCAAAAGAGCACCTGCTAGGGACACAATTCCAGCTTCTAAAACCTTCAGCCACTTTCTGCGAATGTATCTAAAACAACAGAAATTCAGAAAGCACAATAAATAGCCGTAGTTTAGACATTTTTCACAAAACGTAAACATAATATTTGATTTGATTAAAGAACAAGACTTACTTTCTTCTAAAAACAGTTAACTTGTAATTCAAAACAACAAATAAAGCACCAGCAAGGCCACCTGTAAAAAAAGATCTTTTTATTTTAATTTCAGATTAAAAACTGTCAAAATTTTATAGTACATATCGGTTTTAAAATATTTACTTCAAGGAATCCTTAATGGTTATTATTACAGGTTTTTAGTTGACATTTACCAAAGCGTATTAACTTATTTTCAAAATAAAACATGGAATAAAACAGTAAGTAAGAACAGTTATGTGTGAAATAACAGATCAATGAGATCATAATTAATGCCTCTAAGGTACTAACAAGCCTTTTCAAAAAGGATTAACTATGGAAGTTATAATTAAAATTTGTTAAAAATCAATAGGATTCTTCCTATTAATAAGATAGATAAAACAATATAAATTTAATAAAGAAATATTAATAATTGTAGCTTAGAAATTTCTTACACAGGCATAACTCTCAAAGAGGTTATTGAAAAATTTGGAAATTATTAGGCTTCTTCATTTCAATGAAAGAGACAACCCATATCAATTTTAAAAGATATATTGTGATACAAACTATCCAATTAAATATGGTGTTTGTATTGGGGTCGCCAAAAAAACATGAAAGGAGTAAATAATTTTTAGCTAATGAATATCACAGCAATTAAAACATCTGACTCACCTATGACAGCCATTACTAAAAACACTGGAATTTCAATCAGATCAAAAGAAAGATTCTGAAGGGAAAAAATTAAACTTATCAATAAATCTTTCAGAAAATTAGAACAAACAAAACAATAATCAAGACATTTATTGATACATGTGTAAGGTGCTCCATAATAAAAAAAAACAAGTAAAGAGTGTGGCCGATGCCCAGTCGGAATCCCAAAATAAATAGATGACACATTTTAATTAATCGCACATTTATTTTTTTCAAAAGTATCAAGCAATCAAACTGATTATCAACTATACACTAAGTTTCATCACTCTCTATCAGATAGAATAAAAGTTATCTTATTCCAAAGCATCGACCAATGAAATTACTTAGCTCTGCTTAGCTTTAGCTCGAAATGTTAATCATTTAACTCCATCAAGGTATTCACTTATGTTCCAAAGTCTTGACCAATCAAATTGCTTATTGCCCCTTAGCCTAAACAGAAAATTCTCATCATCGAACTTAGTCAAGGTAATGATATAATGAATCTATACTCAGAGTTTCATCACTCTCACTAAATTAAAACCAAAGTTATCGCGCCCCAGAGCATCAACTAATCGGATTGCTTATCTCTGCTTATTGTAAGCAGACATGTTTATCATTGAACTCCATCAAGGCTTTCCCTAATGAACACCTACAACAAGTTTGAACATTCTACCTCAATTAGATGGAGAGTTATGTGTTCCAAAGTATCGACCAATCAAATTGCTTATCACTCTGCTTACAATCGAATTCAGTCAAGGTATTGATGTGATAAAACTATACACCAAGTGTCCTCACTCTCACTTAATTAGAACTAATGTTATCACGTCCCAAAGCATCAACCAATCAAATTGCTTATCTCTGCTTACCCTAAGCAGAAAATTCTCATCTTCGAACTCCATCAAGGCATTCACTTAATAAACACCTACGCCAAGTGTGAAAATACTAGCTCAATAAGAATGAGAGTTATTGTGCTCCAAAGTCTCAGCCAATCAAATTGCTTATCGCTCTGCTTACCCTGAGCAGAAAATGCTCATTATCGAACTTATTCAAGGTATTGATGTAATGAAACTATACACCAAGTTTCATCACTCTCACTTAATTAGAACTAAAGTTATTGTGTCCCAAAGCATCATCCAATCAAATTGCTTACCCTAAGCAGAAAATACTTATCTTCAAACTCCATCAAGGCATTGACCTAATAAACACCTACACCAAGTTTGAACATTCTTGCTCAATTAGGAGAGTTATTGTGTCCCAAAAAGTGTGACGGACGGTCAGACAGACAGAAATGAAATGAAATGGGGTTTAACGTCCTACTGTTCTGCTCCTAACCTGGGCTAATGAAGACGGGCATACGCCATACAGTGTACTATGAGGGAAATTTTGCCCGGGCAGCGGCTCTACTGCCTACTATTATATCGAATTCCAACTGCCAAGGGATCTTTTACGTGCACGCCAATGTGTACACAGGACCTTGGTTTTTCGTCCCATCCGAACGACTAGACAGCTGTCCTTGTCAGGCCCTCCGTCCTGCATCACTGACAAGGTGAAAAATCGCCAGAAAATCTGGATGAACTTTCTCGGCCAATGCAGGGATCGAACACCCGACCTCCAGGCTAGCGAGCCAGCGTCTTACCCACTTAACCACGTGATCCCCCAGACAGACAAACAAACCCATTTTAATACATACACATAACAAGCCTCATTTTGATTCTCACTTGTGATGGCTATTCAATAGTAGAGAGGTTCATACTCAATTTTTTTAACAACAAACACACACTATTTCGGGATTATTTTAACATTATATGATAAGACTTAACATAAAAACTTCATTTATCAACAATGGAAGTCTGACAACATTTGATTTTTGAGGATATAACCATTTGCAAATATGTTATAAATGCCTCAAAATCTACCTGTCTTCCATAATCAAGGCAGATAACTCTTAGTGAGAATAAGAGTTATGTCCCTTGGTCGCGGTAAAAATGGTACGGAAGCCCCTGAAACGAAATTTCATTATCGCAGTCGGAAAACATCGTTTATTTCCTTGCTGCGAAGTAACGGAATACACTCTATGAGACGATTGAATTTAACATGTGTACGCATGCGCAAACGCTTAGTTGTTTTAACAATATATCCACGCCTTCACATGTCTTAATATTAACTGTTTATAATGCTACAGTGAAAATTAAAATACACGTTTAGCTGGATATAACGATCGACGTTTGACATGAATTGTTTAAAGATTAGCCAAACATATGTATTAAAAAGAACAGTGCTTTCATTTCTGTATACCCACAGACACCGGGTCTGTTTAAAATGGCATGTTATATACAGACGGAGCGAGAGAGAGAGACGTCTTTAAATATAATAATATAACACTTTAATGTTAATCCCAAAGATAAATAACGACCAAATAAAAGAAAATCCCAAAATGCTGTAATGAGTTTATCTTGCCACGCTCATGGATTATAAAGTTAAAAATGAAACGAAGCTATTACTGCTAGCTCTGTACCGAAATCGCCAAAAACCCCAAAATCAAAAATTAAACCAAAGAGTTGTAATCGAAATTTTTGCTCACGTTCGCTATTAAATAAACACGAAAGTCGAAGCGCATAATGAGTGTATTTTTACTTGGCTTCATATACCAATACATGTTTGTATAATACCACGTGGAAAGCTATTTGTGACGTATATTTGCTGCGACCTCCAAAATCACGTGCGCGGGACTAAACATTTGTCACTTCAGAAAATATCCCCGATGATGCAGTCAGGCAGAGACCTGTGCATGTTTATATAAGGACAAATAAGTGACCATTGAACCACTCTATCAATAGGTGAATGCAAGCATATGCTGATAATGTATGTGATGCATATCTCTGACATGAAATAATTTGAGTAATTGTCATTCAACTTTAATTTGGGCACCCTAACTTCGGGAAAAATCATCGTATCATGAAATACTTACTTGGAATGTACTGAACCGCACTAAACCAGGGGAAGATAAATGCGTTGGATGTCCTTCGAAGGCACTTAGTAAAAAATTTGTACTAAAACATGCAACCATAGCCGAGAAAAACTAAAAAAAAAAAAAAAATTATTCCCATATAATAACAAATCCTGCCAATCACAAATTATTTCTCTTAATGACTTGAATTTTAAATCGTGCCTAATAGAAAAACATTTAAACTGAAAGCATTTTCAAAGAAAAATACAAGTAAACTGTTCGTAAGCATTACCCTTAAATAAAAAGTACAGATCAAAAATTTAAAATTTGCCAGACTGAAGAATACAATTAATGTATACCGGGTATATAGAAATCAAGTATATAGGTATGTATATACTTATACTTACTACTCTCCATACTAATTCTGTGTTCCAGAAGCTGGCAGCTTCCTCCACACTAAACAAAGTCCCTCCGACCGGAGCTCCAAAAGCAGCAGAAACACCTGAAGCTGCACCTGCTGCCACAAAATCACGTATTTCATGGTCTGACCGAAAAGCATCATAAAACTAAATACAAGAATTTACACAGTAATTAAACATGCATTATGCAAGAGATAAATCTGCCTATTGCAGGTCTTTCCTTAGGCCTGAAATGTTATATAAACTATTAAAGATACTTTCCCAGAAAAGTATTTATCGGGTGGTTCTTTCCAATATAAGTATGTCAAATTTGGTAAATATGGAAAGTATAGACACCCAATCTTACTAGAAAATTACTGGATTACCCGAAAAACGCCCATGGGGCAAGCACTGGGCAAAATTGCCAGGTTTTCACTAACTGGCAACCCGACTGTTATCTGCCAGCTTATTGCATGTGTGTGCCAGCTTAAGTGAGGGAGTGGTTGTTATTTCTTGATCAAATGGTTAGGCGGTTTGGGGAACACTGAGGGGGGTCAACGTACAAAAGAATCTGCAAATAAACGGCGGAAAAAGAAGTTGACAGAAAATATTTAAGAATTTACTTAGGCCTCAATATGTATGGTAAATAATGATAAGTAAGTAATGATAATACATTCTGAAAAATGGATCCTCCCACAATAAAGCTAAATTGACAGACATTGCGTCTAACAATAGCTAACTTATAGCTATAGGTATCCTTGGCGAATACAATGTTTTAAGAGGGAACTGAATCAAATTTTTGATAGATTGGTTACTTTGAATATGTTTGTAGTCCAAATATATCATCAAATCACAAAGTTTGTATGCGGGAATGTATCTTTAAAGATACATTATGGGAGATTAGATAAAGAGCTGGCAGTTCTCATTATAATAGTTAAAAACTAGATAATGTAAAGGGAATTTGCTGAAAATTTCAGTCAACTTGATCCACTCTGAACTGAGAATTTAGTAATTGAATTTTCGGCCTAGCCTCGATCATCATTACTAAAGTCTCGATTATCCATTTCATGATTAAATTATGAATGGTAGACGAGCAGGAAATTGCAACCTAATCCAATAAACATTGCGATGACATCGAGAGTTGATTATGGTCTGGATAAGTTAATTAATGTCTGATTAATAATTTAGATAACATTTCAGGCCTAAAGAAAGACCTGCAATAGGTTGATTTGGCTCTTGCATAATGTATTAACATGAAAAGACCATAATCAACTCTTGATGCCATCTTATGTGTCCGATTTTCATTGGATTTGAATCCCATCTGCTTTTCAATGCCCATTGATGTTATCGTCTCTATATTAATTATCATGACAGTGGTAACACTGACAATCGAGGCTACAGTGATTTTAAAATAAAGTTTTCTCGGCTTAGATTAAAGCAATTTGACTGAAATTTTCAGCATATTCCCTTTACTTTATCTAATATTTAACTATTATACTGAGAACTGCCAGCTCTTTATCTAATCTTCATAATGTATTTTTAACTCAACAAATAAGTGTAATAATTCTAACTGACTTTAATTTTTCAAGTTCAAAAGCTAATTTTCAATAATTGATTTATCTATTTGTTTCAATTAAATTTTCAAAGTAAATGTGCTTAAATCCATAACTTATATGGTACATGGTTTTCCACATGCAAACAAAAATTATCAAAGCCATATTAATTTCTTTTGAACCTAAGTTGGTACTTACTTTTATTTCCTTTTTCTTTCCATACCTCATTCTTCCTTTGGCAAATCCAGCTGCCATTATACCACCTGAATGAGCCATTGGCCCTTCCTGTTGACAGACAAATTGAAAGTGTTTGTATATATTCTCATAAATCCTTCAAAAACATTTCAATTAGATGTAGAAAGAGCTATTGTTAAAGGTAATACTAGGTCTGGTATAAAAATATATTAGGGACTTTTATTTAAGATTTTACAATGTGTAAAAGCTTCTATTTGGAGTAATACATCCTGAATGGACGGGACTTGTCGCTTTCAGTCTTAAACATTTATTTATAAATGAGACGCCTGTATCTTATAATAAATTGATAAGTACCACACAATTAACCGAATTCAATATTAACATGCCTAATATCAACACATCTAACAGATTCAAAGGAGGCCTAAGATTTCCTCTTTAAGCTAAACTGAAGAATGTACCTTCCCACATGCTAATCCTCCAAGGATGGATAAAATTACTCCAAGAGTTTTTGCAATGAAAGCCTTAAAGTTTAATAGTCCCGGTATACGGACACCATTCAGGTATGATTTAATAAAAGGAATACCACTTCCTGCAGCAACAGGCTGAAAAAAAGAGAAAATCAATGACAAGTGACATTTTCCCCCATATGAACATTAAATTACAAGCTGTACTTAGCTTTTCTCATGGAAATATAAATAAATGTGTGATGAAATCATGCCTAGTATCATCTCATACCCGATTAATTACAGTACCAAATCAAGCTCTGTGTCTATCAGACAGATTTTCATTCATTGAAGATCAATACACTGTAAATCAAATTTTTTAGATTGAATATTCCGAGTTTTTTTTTACTATTTGTCTGTATCCAGTACATGATACACTAGGATAACAAAATAATTTCCATAGACAGTTTGAATTTTTAATGTAACATATATACTTTCAGATTTAAAAAAAATAACAACACAAAACAAATACATGAAGTGTCCAGGGGAAGAACGATCTAAGTCACATTTTTGTCTTTTCGATTGAAAGGCAAAACATACTTTTGGACGAGAATGTTTGACGGAAAAGAACAACAAGTGGGTTTAATTACAACTTCAAAATGATGTTTAATACGAATCATAATTACCAGTACAACAACAAACTTCCACTTTTCAGTTAAATTAAGGTCAAATAAAAGGTACGATGGACGTATTTGTCCGGGAGGCCATTTCAGAAGGGCCTTGGTTCGATGTGACACCGATCGTTTTTACCTGAAATTGATTGTTCCACAGAAAGCTTATACAATTTGCTACCAGATGGCACTATTAACTGGGGTTCGTTGAAAAAGTGACTTAGATCGTTCTTCCCCGGGGCTCTTCACATGTATGGACGCAGTACTTTTTATAGTAGGGTATTATACTATTGGATAAAAATCTTTTTATTGTATCAAAACATCCATTGAGGACAGCATACAATATAAACATGTACATAAATTTATAACAATATCTCAAATAATATATATATTTACAAATAAGACAAACTGTAATTTTTTGGATAGAACCTACTTATAGCTGGGACCTCTGCCAGATGCTAAATGTAGCAAAAGGTCAGGCCAAAATCTGTGTGAATTGGTGTTGCTGATCTGTATTATTCATAATTAGATAATTTACCTGTACATATGTAACTAAAGCAGCACCAAGTAAAGTAATAACAACATTGATAACAACCCATATTCCTATTGGTAAAAATAAAGTACAAGACTCTGTTGAACATCGATCAATATCTAACAACTATATTAAGAAAACATAAATCTATAATCACTCTGAAATAATACAATAACAAGCCAACAGTGAGGCTGATGTTCCCCGCCGAAATCCCCAGACAAATAGATGACACATATTAATTAATCGCACACCTATTTTTTTCAAAAGTATCGAGCAATCAAACTGATTATCAACTATTGACCTAATAAACACCTACACCAAGTTTGAACATTCTAGGTCAATTTGAAGGAGAGTTATTTTGTCCCAAAAAGTGTGATGGACAGACGGACGGACGGATAGACGGACGGACGGAGGGGACGGACAGAAAGACAGAGGACGGGCGGACTGACAGACAGACAGACAGATGGATGGACGAACCCATTTTAATAGTCCCCTGCTTTCTTCGAACGCATACCTATTTTTTTCAAAAGTATCGAGCAATCAAACTGATTATCAACTATTGACCTAATAAACACATACACCAAGTTTGAACATTCTATGTCAATTAGAAGGAGAGTTATTTTGTCCCAAAAAGTGTGACGGACAGACGGACGGACGGACGGATAGACGGACGGACGGACGGAGGGGACGGACAGAAAGACAGAGGACGGGCGGACTGACAGACAGACAGACAGACAGATGGACGGACGAACCCATTTTAATAGTCCCCTGCTTTCTTCGAAAGGCGGGGGACAAAAATGTAAGGTATACAACAGTTAATCATAAATCATCCTAGACTATTGAAAATATTGAGTAAATTTATGCTTCTATTTCTCTCACTCCCAGAGTTAAAAAAAAACCCAACCTCAAATGGTTTATCATGTTCACTTTTGATCAAAAGATCTGTCATTGAATCAAGTGGGGTAGCAGGATAACCTTGCAGGTTTTTCCAGGACCTCTGTTTTCTTCTCACTGCTACAGATTTCTACATGCAAGCGAGTTATTGAAATGGAATTGAGTCATATGTTAGTTCAAAATTTGTGTCAAGTGGACATTAAACCCCTTTTCTCTCTCTCTTCAGAGAAAAAAAAATTGCACCAAATTATTGCATATGTCTGATTTATAACATCACAGGAGCCCTATTCTCACCCCTCTATATACAATAATTTTTGTTTTAGTTTCTATGTCAGTATGTGAAAAAATAGTTGAATTTAATTGGTGCAGTATTGACATGTTTATGATGTTTTTTCTTAACTCCAAAAAGTTGCAAAACTAGAAATACAACAATGACGATATATCAGCAATCTGAATGCACCAGTATATAATTTCTTCCTTCATGTTTTATGTTTGTTTTTATCACAAGTTATTTTTAATACATAAAAATCTGGTTCACCAGAGACAAATAAATGTTAAAATTCTACTTTATATACAGAATCAAATTAAATTAAGGATACACTTTTGGATGAGATGAAATTTTTCATGAGCAATTATTTCCACAGAGATCTGTACACCAGCAGCTAACAATGCAGTCCCAATACCCACAGCAAACATAATAATCCATCGACTTATAAACATTAATGTCAATTTTCTCTGAAAAAATAAATTTAAACAATGATTAAGTACATGGATTGCATCAGTAACTTTGAATAGAATTTCTTCCAGATCTGAGATATTTATAAAAACTCAGCCAAGTAAATAGTTCTTTGATTTGATCAAATATTCAACAATCACTCAAATTTATCCTCTGAACAAATCAACAGATCTTTTCCGAAAATGTGATTGATGCCATTCAAACTGTATGACATGTATGTAATATTTGTTTCTAACCAGCGGCTGCTAGGCAGGATATGCCCACATTTTGCAAGAGATGGATAGAGAACAAGCTAAAAACAATAAGCGATTTTTTGTACAATCAGGGGCCATAATCCAGAAAGTTTTGGTCTCAAATGTGCAAATATCAAAAGGGACTGAGATTTTTGGAATATAAAGATATGTTTTAAGTTTCATCAAAATCGGATAAAAATTGTGACCTCTAGAGGGTCCATAAGCTTTGTATTACATACTTATACACAAATTGCGTACAAGGCCGGCCATTTTCTCAGGCAGTTTCATTTTGATTTTCCCGAAATTCGAATTCAACCTTCATTATGGTGGAATGGTGATATATCTAAACAGTTTTTAAAATCGGAAAAAAAATTGTGACCTCTAGAGAATCCGCATCCTAAAAATGCGATTTTTCGACCAATCAGGGGCCATAATCCAGGAACTTACGTTCAGATTTGTGTGATGATCAAAAGGAACCAAGATCTTTATGATAAAAACATATATTTAAAGTTTCATCCAAATCGGATAAAAAATGTGGCCTCTTGAGGATCAACAACCTTAATATACCATATTTTTACACTACAAGGGGCGGCCGTTGTGTCCGTCAATTTTAGTCTGATTTTCACGAAATTTGGACTCAACCATCATTATTGTATAACTGTGATATATTCTCACTTTTTTTATTTTTAAATTGGATAAAAATTGTGACCACTATATGGACCACAGCCTCAAAACGCGATTTTTCGTACAATCAACGACCATAATTCAGGAAGTTACGTTTCGATATGCACAAATATCGAAAAGAACCAAGATCTTTGGGTTATAAACATGCATTTCAAGTTTCATCAAAATTGATCAAAATTGTGACCAGATGTTTACACTATTTGTGTACAAGGGGCGGCCATTTTGTCTGAAGTTTTGGTCGAATATTCACGAAATTCGAACTCAACCATCAATAGGGTGTAACAGTGATATACTAAAATGTTTTTTGAAATCGGATAATAAAAATTGTGACCTCTAGAGGGGCCACAAGCTAAAAGCGTGATTTTTTGTACAATCAGGGGCCATAATCCATGAAGTTATGGTCCAATACATGCCAATATCGAAAGGAACCAAGATCTTTGGGGGATAGACCTATATTTCAAGTTTAGTCAAAATCGGATAAAAGTTGTGACCTGTAGAGTGTCCACAAACAAATTGTGGATGGACGGACGGACGGACAGGGGCGACAACAATATACGTCCACATAATATTTCGTTATCTGGTATCATATTATATTTATTATTAGTTAGTGCATGTACTCAGCTCAGATGTTAGCATGGGTTCAAACTCTTCAAATTAACCAACTGTGCTACGATCAACTGCCGTCTTATAAATATAAAATTCAAGTATCTATATAGATTAGTGTACACTGTACACATACATATGCCACCTCATGATTATAGAATAGTACACATATTTGTCAACAGTTCAGAGGATTATATTGTATGCTTTGTTTATGGTTAAAGATGAATGGTGCCATAGTAGAACAATAAAAGTTAATTATTATTTAAGAATCTTTACAAATAATGAGCACATTTGTATTGTTTTGTGCCAAAATTATTTTCTATAACAAAGCCACTACAAATTCTGTATTATGTTGTATTAGTTGCAATCATCTAATTTCATATGATTATTCAGATACTATTTATAGCTTTCCTTCCACCTACATAAATGTATTATTAGGCAAATGATTTCCAGATTGACATCATTCCATTATTTGTTGTTACTACTATATTCTTAGTATTATCTTTTTAAGAGCACTAGCAGGTAAATGGAAAATGTTCATGGCCTGGCCTTCATTTTAGAAATACTTCATTATCCTGTCGTTGAAAAATTTCCATGAACCTGGGTACACATATAAAACAGTATAAAAGTTAAACTAAATAAATATTTTGTCTATAAATTTACCTGTATGCCTAACATCTTTTTTACCACTGCTCAAGAGGCATGGGAGGATTATCAGATTCCTAAATTTGACTTAGTTACATTGTACAGATATTAAACTCCTATTTCCGTCATTCCCACCGTTCATAACACATAACTTAATATAGTTTAAAAGATTTTACTTGCAGAAAAATTGAATTTGAATCGAAATAATTAAAACACTCTACATACAGCTTAGAAATAGTGGCAATCTGGAAACATAAACTGTTTACACATTACTATATTACTAAGTTAGAATTCTACTTTTTCATCTAAATGTCTAATTTTTAATTAAATCTTTTAATCCACAGTGACCAGGAGTTTAAATTCAAGTTTTTGATAATTAAATACCACAACAAGAACAAAGTAATTCTTTGGATTAGTAGATAAAAGTTGCTTAAATGCATATTATTTGACATAAGCTACCATAAATATATAAAAGCAATCATGTCAAATATACAATACCACAACAAAAACAAACCTTTCTTTTATTTTTTCCCTCTGTCTATGCATGTAAAATTAATATACAGGACAATTTAACATAATAGAATATATGGCAATAACAATTTTAACAATAATGTTTTTTTTTTACAATTATGGAACTAATACAAATATTAAAGACCAAAGGCCGCATGAGTTCAGATTAATTTCCTCCAAAATTGATAGAATATATGATAATTTCATGTCACATTTTAGTACAAATGTACACATTTGTCTCACAAAAATTCTTTTTTTTTTAATGTCTTTTTGAGGAACGCTTCTATTTAAAGGACACAGAAAGTCTTTGAAAAGAAATCACCAGGTATTCTTGATTAATCCTAATAACAAGTCCTTGTATCAAAAGCTTGATGTCACAGCTGCCGGCAAATTAAAGCGTTGCAAATGACAGGCTAGTCTTGCACCATCAATGAAAACTGTGATTCCGACTGGTTCTGATGAAGACTCTAAAGCCATATATGTGATATCTTTAACTATTTAACTGTGGTTAATTACTACCAGTATTAATTTGCTTTTATCCCTTTGCTCAGGGATAATCAGTTTGCAATACATGCTCCCTATTTAGTGAAATTAATCCTTAACTAATTCTGGACAGTATTAGATAGTAATAGGGTTCTCAACAACTATCTGTTGTTGTCAAGGTCAGGCAACATGTTTAAATGGATTTCTCAGATTCGTGAAGAATCAGTGGTTTCCTTTGAAATCTAATATATTAAACTGCATTGCACAATGTCTGGCACAAATCAATTCTAAAAGAAATTTTCAATTTAGGATCTGATTTATAACCAATTCTAGATTAATTTGGGTTCTGATATTAACAATTTGTTACAAGACAAAACTTGTATACCCCCTCCCCCCCTTTTGGAAATGACTTCAATGAGTTAATATCTTCATATTTTCACCATTTCAAAACCTTTAGGTGATATTGTTCTCATGTCGATAATGCATAACCATATAACTCAATAAGTGGCCGGCCATGTGTATTAACCATATTACTCAATTCTAAATGGCATGTGTATACTCAATCTGATTAAAACACAGATCCTATTTCGTTTCATTTTTTATAGTTCAAAATTTTGTTTTACTTATTATGTTTATACACTAGGATCTGGAAGAGTTGTTATATTACCGCCGTTCTGGTTGAAATGAGGGATTAGCCAATGTCTGATGTCATAGGGTCAAAAGTCACTCGTATGACCCCTGACGTGACCTTCCAGTACAACCAGTCAGATCTTCATGTAGTGTAAGTATAAAAAAAAACAAAACGAAATATAGATCTGTATTTTAATCAGATGGGTGTATACTTTAAGGCAAATTCAGGGACAGACCGCCAGAAGATTTAGAACCCTTTCCAGTGAGTTTACTTGAGGATCCTAGCTACCAGTGGTTCAGTATCAAGTTTTCTCAATAGATTTAGCATTTTCTTTCCATTTCAATTTTTGAGATATTTCATTTTCTTTTTTCTGGGTAGAAGACTGGCACCCTCTCTTCTGCTAGTCATACAGATTAAGCCTTCACCATTGGAAATTATATAATGCAGAAAATAGATAAAACTAAATATAACAAACCTTTGATTTATTTGTTTCTTCTTCCTGAGCTTGTAATTCACTTTCAATGAGATCATAGTCAAGACTCTGAGGAATAAAAGGTACAGATAAATATTCTTACTAAATCTATTTCAGAATCGGTTTGTAAGGTCATGCAAGATTTTAAATTTATACAGCCTATTCATACTTTCTCTCATCATTTAAAAGAAAAGATGCTTGACAAGGTAACATATGCCTGTAGGCAGCTGTATAATTGTTACAGTATGATTATGAAATATGGAATTCGTTAAAAACAATATGGCAACTCATGAAAGCTAAGTGGCCTATCCAAAGAGAGTTACCTCCCCCTTAACTCAATGTAACCGACGTCTGCTAGCCTACATTTCCATATTTGGTCATTAGTCATTTGCTTGGTCACCTGTCTCATGAAAATAAGGTAACTGTTTTTGAAGGAGAGGGTAAGTGAAGCCTTCTTTATTTAAATTCTAAATAACAACCTGAAATCTTCAAAGTATGCCTACCATTCATCCACGAAACCTATCATATAAGGGACATATTTTTTTTTTTTTCACCCAAAGAATTTCAAGTTTAATTTCTTTTTTTGGGAGTTTCACCTGAGGTAACTTTTAATATAATTGATTTTTGGCAATTCCACCCCAGGTCAGGTGTTTTTTCAAACCAAAGAATTTTTAATTTAATTAATTTTAAGCAAATTGTAAAAACTAAAATCATTTTGTACGTATGTCCTTTATCAGCCAAGTATTCAATGTTTGGTACAATTTCATTTTGGATATTAATTCTTTTAGCAATACAAAATCGTCCAGCAATAGGCTACAAGTAATTTAGGTCAGCAGCACACAACCTCCAACAACAAATGAAGAAAAATATAATAAAATAGGCCCATCAAAAACAACACGGACAAATGTTTTTGGTGAGGGTGGTTGCTGAAAATAAAATTCCCCCAAATATCATGCCCTTCCCAAAACACACACAATCATATCTTTTTTTTTTTTTTATCAAAGACAATATCCAGAAGTTAACAATTAAATTTATTAACAATTAACAAACTAGAATCATAACCTCATTCACAATTTCTAAAATTTCAATCCGTGATTAATTTACAACTTGATGGTTTGTGAAATCCGGGGGAAGGTTCCACGTATATGTTCAGTGAGTCGCATCTTAGGGATTCTGATCATCCAGTCATTTGGCGGGTGTATGACGTATGAGGTGATCTGTCCCCGCTATAGATGCTAGTTTACACCCGATCCTATGCATGTACGGCTTTTTAGACAGAAAGGGAGGCCATACGTGGTCAGCGTGAGTCTTCCTTGTATCTCTCCATCACCTTGATAGATTGAGATATCCAGGGTTTCATGTATCATCAAGTAATATAAACATTTTCAAAACATTCTGTTACTTCAAATTTTTTTTAATATAAAGATATAAAAAGATATAATTAGGTAGTACATTATAGTACCATTTATTATAGTAAATTCATATAGCTATATGAATAAACATCTGAGGAAATGTCATTCTCTGTAGCCAACTTTCACAGTTGAAGTTAATAGTGCATCCAAAGACCTTTTCCAAGAGCTATGATTTATAAAGGCTGAGATGTCATTTTAAAAAAGATAAGTACCAGTAAACTTAAAATTGTTACCGATTGGCCATTCAGTTAAAATAGGTGCTAGAACTTGATGAATGTCATAAGACGATGAAAGATCTAATAATATCAAAGAATCAAAATAAGTTTAGATTTTCTTATCTTGTTTATGGGTATACGGTTTTTAAGTTCATGCTCAGAATTTCTTTTACCTGGAAAGATTTTGGTAACATTGACAATAATTCCATCAATAAATGATTATTTATGATTAGACTATTTGGAATAATATAAGTGACATACGTAGCATATTCAGGGTTATTTCACACAATTTTTACACAACATTTTTGAGGAATTTGTATCAAATATGCATTAATCTATTCAGAAGGTTACTACAAACTATCATTAACTAAAAACTAATATATCACAATAATATATGCAACATCGTCATAAAATAATATCTAACATGGGTATGTGCTTAAAATATATGTGACTATATTAAAGAGTAATACTTCTTGATTCTTAGTTCTTACCTCCCATTTGGAAACCAGTCTTTTTCTAAATCTTGGTGTATCTCCATACTGTCTGATTCTCTTGCTGATATCCTGAAAAATCGGTATCAGTAATTAATCATTATTTAAATTTTTTAGAAAATCTGATTAACTTGTTAGTTGTAATAAACTATTTGTTTGGCTGGAATACTATGCATTCTTACTGTTTAAATATAACAAACTGGACCACTATTAAATTGACCTTAATGTTGTAATAGATTTCGTTTTCTATTCACAAATAGGAACTAGGGGTATTTTATTAAGCATGACTACTACTGGATGAAATAAATCATCTAGGTCATGGAAGATTTCTAATGAATTGATAACAGATATCGCATGAGTGTTGAATCCATGTCTGACATCTTCAAGATATTGTCAATCTTTCAACCCATAAAACTTCAAACTCTGTACATGTCTATTTTCTTAACATCCTGTAAGAAAGATTTTATTAGATGGTAGTAGTCTAACTTAAGACACATATAACACATTTTGACAGAAAGTTGTTATAAAAAAAAAAGGTATTAGACAATTTGGTTTCTATGATATTGAAGTTTGTAAGATTACATATGGATAAGAATTGCAAATCAAGGTATCAACAGTCTTTTCCAAAATGTTAAAAGTCTATTTGACATCGAGATCGATGCCTTTCTATATTCCGTTTGTATATTGTTGCAAACTGATCAGCAGTACATATTCGCCTGGCCGCTACTATCACTGCAGGGGCACGTTAATTAGCTTTGTTTCTGCTGCAAATTAAATTCTAAAACATTTGTTTAAATTATTAAGAAAAGAAATAAAAGTGCTGGAAGTACATCTGGATAAAACATATTTTCTATTTAGTGTGGTTTGTGTTATGATGTGACATCCCATGTAGACATGTGGGCGTATAGTAAAAAGTTGTGATGGAAGCTTATACAAAAGGCGAAAACATTGACATGATGAGAGATTACAAGAGCTGTAAGAAGACAAATGGACAATTTACATATTGGTAAATGGTGTAAAAAAAGAGCAAATTACCCGAAATTTGGAAGACAATAAGGCTGTAATACTATTTTGAACCAAAGTATCTGATGGTTCTGAGGCACTGTCTTGGAAATCAAATGGTGTCAGATGATTGCGAGTTGCAAGTCGAGACACTTCAGTTTCTGATTTAACTCTGTTTAAGTCATTCTTGACTCTTGTGACAGTAAACTGAAAAAAAGTAACAGCATTGATTATTCAGAAATAAACAATTTTATTTTTCCTTTGTTGAGATAATAAAATTTAACCATGGAAATCTCTTCCTCATGAGAGACATGAACTATTCTGAAAATTAATTTGATATAAATTTAAGCTAATGATTTATCATTTATTGGGTGTTATGGCAATTTTCATGCTAGTGATTATTTAACATATTTCTATAAAATTAACCAAGTAATTAAATAAAATTGTGATCAAGCATATAGCAGTCTTAAAAATTATTAGAAGCATGAAAATGATAATTATATTTAAGTTGTCCAGAAATGATTAAAGAGTTGCTGATTTTAACATACTAATTTGAAGGTGTTACATTATTTTGATGTATTATTGAATTAAGAAAAGATTCCAGCTTGTAAGACACAGTAATACATTATACCCATGTGAAATAGGCACCTTAAAGGAGTTAAGTCTTTAGTCTATATTGAATGTCTAAAAAAAATATTGCTTTGACTAAAGATTTAAACAATCTCTTGAATACAACACGAATAAAGCTATTTCTAATTTCACATAAAAAAGGGCAAAGTCATGAAACCAGATAAGACTCCCATATAACACTGTAAATCTAATAATTTATTGTTTTTCTCAAGAGAGTTCCAAGTAGAAAGCTTCCACATACAGAACAATTTTGGATTTCTCTCATTAATTATAAACAATTTAATTAGTACTGATAATGTCTAGGTCATTCTTTATTAAATATAGATTATCGAAGATTAGATAAAGAGCTGGCAGTTCTCACTATAATAGTTAAAAACTAGATAATGTAAAGGGAATGTGCTGAAAATTTCAGTCAAATTGATCCACTCTGAACCAAGAATTTAGCGATTGAATTTTAGACCTAGCCTACATCATCATAACTAAAGTTGATACGATAAAAAAACATAGTCTTGATTATCCATTTTTTGATTTAATCACCAATGAGCGTTGAACAGCTGATCAGATTCTAATCCAGTAAATATTGTAGGCTAGCGATGACATCGAGAGTTGATTATGGTCTGGATAAGTTAATTAATGTCTAATTAATAATTTCCACAACATTTCAAGCCTAAAGAAAGACCTGCAATAGGCAGATTTAGCTCTAGCATGATGTATGTTTAACCTTGCACTGGGGGTAATCGTACAGTTTCACCTATAAGCTATAATCCTTTTAAACATTAAATAACCATTCAATATTTAGCAAGGATTTTGAAAGTATTGCTAAATCAGCATGTCCTCTACAGATCTCCATTTTGAAAATGTTACATTGTGTGTGTGCAGGGGGGGGTGCAAAGGCTTCTGGAGGCGTTGATGGGACTTCTGGGGGCGCCGATGTACCTACACGGCGAACAGTACCGTGGAGACGACTCGACTCAGAGAAGGGTCTAGGGTGCTCTCCCCCCAGAAAATTTGGGAAAATAGGGTTACAATTTCAAGTTTGAGGCTGAAATTGCGATATTGGCGTATAATGATATCTTGATTTGAACATTATAAAAAATTGAAGGAAGGAATACGACTTTATCGTACCTATAATAATTTATAAGAAAAAGGAAAAGTTTGAAATCGGGTTAGAGTGTGACTTGTTTGAATTTTGAAAATTATCACGCCGTTTTGGGCACCCAATTCATTTGTGGGTGCCTAATCAATCTTACTAATGTCCATACTGATATGGGCACGTTGGTTGTTGGCTTCATATTGCGTCCAATGGAAAGGGCGGCAAAGGCGCCCTTTGCCCATTGGGGAGAAAATCGGCTCCCCCAATTGCCCCCCCCCCCGCTAGCTACGGGCCTGTGTGTGCGTGTGTGTGTGTGATTGAAAGTTGGGAAAGTTTCAGCAAGGAAAAGTCCATTCTTTTTATGAATAGTTGGTTTCGAACAGATATCCCCAAATAGTCTCACATAACAACTTTTCACAGCAACAGAATTATCAGTGAGCTGAAATTCAACTACTGTGTATCTATTATTGCTCTCTACTTCAATAGTAAAGATAACTGTGTTTTCCATTTTTTGCATCACTTCCTAATTCTTTAAATCTTTGCAAAGATCTCTGTGTTAACATTATAATTGGAATGTGTTTAACCAGTTCTATCACATATGTAATTTTGGCCAACATAGTCCTTTCAGATGGTTAAATTTCATTAACATATTAATAATATTTCTACCTTTATATGCATTCTAAATTTCTTTGGGGCAGAGTTGCCTTCATAAATGCTGGCTAGTTTTGACCATACAACTTTTTGACCTCAAGTTGTAGTTGTGTCATACATGAGGCAAGGTATGCTAAATTATCTAAAAGAGAGATTTCCACTGGTTTAATCGGTTACTTTGCATGAATTTTATGACACAATTTTATCTTCTTGTTTATTTGTGAAAAACGCAAGGACTGTTCTACCCTTGGTGGCACAGACTGTAGTTAGCCCCCCATATCTCTAATCTTTGCATAATATTAATTATCTCCTGATTAGATTTTGTCTTTTTCCAAATACTGATCTTCCAGTAGTTTTTCATAATAATTTAAGTAGTGATGTCAACGACATGACCTACCTTTTCAATCTAGCCCCAACTAGCAATTGTGATTGTTAGACATACAAAATCAACCAAAAGCATAACATAGAACAACTATGACGGGTAAAACCCACCACTGCACATGAAGTACAGTCAATACAATCATGTGGTTAAGTGAGAAATTAATATGAAACAATATATATAAATTCATAAGAACTGGTGTAGACAGTCTAATAAATACTGTACTAGACATTTTTCTCATACCTTAAAATGTTATAAGTTCAGAAAGCCATCAATCCCCACTTTGAACATTCCTTTAGGCTTTTGACATTAAGAAATCATGAATTTTATCATGTTCCACACATTCTAAGATGAAATAATATTGTCACCAGTGAAGTAGCTAAGCAAAACAAATCTACCTTTTAATCTGCTCTATGCCTAGATGTCTTGAAGCTTTTGTATATTTTTAGTAAGAATAGCATTACATGAAGATATATCAACAGAAAACCCACATGCAACCTTATTCCTTGGGATTGAACTTTTGACAATTGCATCAATCATAAACTTAACTTCTGAAGAGCATGCATTAGGCCACTTGGCCCTGCCCTCAGCCCCACCTTTTCACCAACTTTTGTCTCCATGAAACATCACTTCAAGCCTTTATTTTGTCCATCTTGCCCACATCAATATGGTAACACTCTAATATAATAACTCAAAATTCAAACTGGTGGTGCCATATCATTTCAAAATTGATCAATTCTTCTAAATATTTATTTTGGTAATGCTTTTAATTTCCTAATATAAAACAGACTATTCATAATTATCATTTTCTATCTTATTTCTCCAATTAGTGTGAATATACACAGCTGAGTATCAATGTTTTCTTACTTCAATGTAGTGTTATGATAATTGATCAAAATCAAACATGTCCATTACAGCAGCACCAAATTATCAATAATAAAAATAAAATTGTCTCTTATAACATATTTATCACCTTTCCATATACTATTATAAAATTATTTTGACATGATTAAACAAAACCATACAGCATCTAAATTCATCAAGTACATTGAGTCGTGCCAATTTTCTCATACCCTTCTTCAGTTATGGAGTTGCTTGAACAGCTGCCATTTTTCACACACATAAAGTTACATCACTAACCGTAAATCAAAGAATTCTTGGTAGTTACTGTTAATAAAAACAATCATCTTGTCTATCACAATTTTCTTTTTCTATAATTAAATACCATTCCAAAGAATTTGACTATGATCAGAAATAATTGGTATATTTTTTCTGACAATCAGATTGGGATGAGTGTTCCTCGTTTGAGCACCCCTGAATTATGTACCTCTAACACTTACAGAATTTTAAAACAATGTGACTTTTGTTAAAATCTATGACCATGAAAATTTAAAGTGACATTTATACCTCATTACATATTAGTGTTTTAAATTTGTACCATAATATGTTGTTGTTAGATTATTATTATTATATATGTAATACTCCTTTTGTCATTTATTTGTAATAAATGGCCATTTCAATCTCAAACAGGGTTATACATTTGTTAACGGAAGGAGCTTGGCTGTTTTGGGGTGTAGTTTCTGTATGACTATGATATACCTGTATAATCAAATTATATAAAATTGAAACCTATCTTTTAAGCAATCAGTGCAGATGCCCAAGTTAGAAGCCCTCTTTAATTTAAAATCGCAACACTGACCTACTTAGATCTATTATTGATGTTGAAAAACTGACAACATTGACAACTGAAAACAAGTAATAGGGGGATATGACAGTAAATCTAGGAACACATGATTAGCTTCATCATATAAAGAATCCTTACATTCATTTTACTTGTCAATTTTTCCAAAGAAAATTGGGTCAGTTTGTGGTAATCTTCCTTGCACTAATGTTACATTCTCTCTTGGGATATTTAATTGCTTTTAAGGTCCATTCTTAACGGTTTGCCAGAAGTAGGTCACTTCAAATTATTAAGTAACTTATTCACATTAAAGTTGATGGAACTAATGGAAGCTCTACCTAATAAGCTTGTCATGGATGCTAAAAAAATATATTAATCATCCAATATAAATGTTTGACACCTTTGATAAAATATTATTTATTAAAATATTGTTTATTGGCCCTAATCTACCCCAGATCTTACTTAGTGATTTTCATTCACCTACAATGACAAATATACAATCTTCAGGTCTTATATACCTTATGGAAATGCTGTGACTCAGTGAGTAAGGTGCAGGCTCAGTAACCTGCAGGTCCTGTGTTCGATCCCTATGTGGTCTAAGATTGTTTCCCTTTGTAAGTGATGCAGAATGAAGGGTATCTATATAGTTGTTCAGGTGAGATGTAAAACCAAGGCCCTGTGTACACTATGGCGTACATGTAAAAGAACCAATGACAATTGGAATTCAAAATTAACGTAGGCTGTAGCACCATAAATTTATTTCTTGGTTATCA